AACCACGGGGGTATCAGCACAGGATAGGGCAACAACAGTGTTGGCACTTGCTTCCAGAAATTCCAAGCCTGAGGATTTCAACCGTCCTGGCCATATTTTTCCATTGAAGTACCGGGAAGGTGGTGTTTTAAAAAGAGCTGGACATACGGAAGCTTCCGTCGATCTTGCTATGTTAGCTGGGTTGGATCCAGTTGGAGTACTCTGTGAAGTTGTGGATGATGATGGTTCAATGGCTAGATTACCAAAGCTTCCCCAACTTGCCCAGGAGGAGAACTTGAAAATTATATCGATTGCTGATTTAATAAGGTAATGACATCTTAGTTGAATGACCCAACATTTAAATAGTTTCTTCTATGTCTATCATTTGCTGAAAGATTATCTCAACAAACAGAAGACTTCTATTTCTTATTGGGTTCAAGAAACTCATTGCTTTGCTAATTTGGTTGATCAATTACCATTTTTGAGATCTGCAAAATTTGTTGTTCCTGCCATTGTTGGAACCAAAGAGCATTTAGGAAGAAGGAAATTCCTTGGAATGAATTCCAGTCTCTTGCATTTTGTACATGCATGCTTCAATTAGACAGTTCCATTTGGAAATGTCATTAAATATGCACAAAATGTTTGCCCCATGAATGTTAGTTTCTTTTCTAACCTAACTAGTTAGTAGCATAAAAACTGCCATATCATGCCTTGGTAAATCCAGTTTATAGAATTGAATTGGGAGATGCTGAAATCAAAGATGTTAAAAGAAGAAATTAAGTTGGTTAAAAAGGGAGGCATTATTTGCCTTCTTCAAATATAAATAGAAATAGAAATTGCAGGCTCACCATCCAAAATACAGAATTTACATTTGATCTAACCAAGGTCTTTGTGAAACTAGAGAATCTCGAAGAAAGACTCGCTTGGACCTTTTCTGTTTGTTCAACTGCAGGAGCCTTTGCTTGAACGAGACCATAAGCTTCATCAGCTATGGCTCTCTTATGCTTACAGCTGCAACAATTTGAAAACAAAGTCAATCTAACACAAAAATTTAGCAATGTATTTGTTTAAACCGAGTAAAAGAAATGAATAAGTTAAGATCATTAACCTCCTTGTTTCTGTGGATTCATCACATACTACCTGCTCAAAGAAGTCAGAAGATTTTTCCCATCAATTAATAGATTTAGGTCACTTGTATAAAGTAAATTGCTTATGGAATGAAAATGGAAATTTTTGCAGGTACAGGAGGAAGAGAGACAAATTAGTGGAGCATTCTTCTGCAGCAATGATTCCTACTATGTGGGGCCCATTCACAGCTTACTGTTATAGATCAATCTTGGATGGGATTGAGCACATTGCGATGGTTAAGGTGAGGTTCATGATTTTTAGGTTGAAACTTTGCCTTCCTCCCCCTGGCCCCCAGTTAAAATTGTGAAAGGTCAGAATTGGCTAGATCTGGAGTTTCTATTGTTAGCCACTTCAATGCATTTTTCAGTTTATAAGGTGGTTGTAGGATAAGTCAAATGAGAATCAGCACAGACAAGTACCTGAAGTGGCAACAAATTTGATGCACAAAAAAAAAAAAGCTCTTTTGAAATCACCCTAGAATCTGAAATCCTGCTCTTGATCTGATGTCAGCACATATAGCTTATTTATATGAACTGGGGTTTATGTAATGTGTCAGAAACTAGCTTACCTCTCTACTTTACCCTCTAAGAAGTATAACAAAATAAGTACGGTTTTTCTTATTTACAAGTTTATGGTGTAAACAGGGTGACATTGGAGATGGACAAGATATTCTTGTGAGGGTACACTCAGAATGCCTTACAGGAGACATATTTGGATCTGCCAGATGTGACTGTGGAAATCAGCTAGCCCTTGCAATGCAGCAGATTGAGGCTGCTAGTAGGGGTGTGTTGGTTTACCTCCGTGGGCATGAAGGAAGGGGAATTGGTTTGGGTCACAAGCTTCGTGCTTATAACCTACAGGATGCTGGTCGTGATACAGTGGAAGCAAATGAGGAGCTGGGGTTGCCTGTTGATTCAAGAGAATATGGCATTGGTGCACAGGTATGCCTCTGTAGATTTCTCCTCAAGTTAATGGAATAAAGTATTAGATGGATTATAGTTTGAAGTGCTACCTGAGAAGAAAAAGGGCATTTATTCTTTTATTTGGCTACTGCTGCACTCTATATAGCTTTACAAAAGATTGAGTCTGGTCATGATCTTGTGCAAGCAATCCATTAATCATTCATTGGCATGCTCATGGGATGAGTCCTTTGACCTCAAAGTAAAGTATAAATAAATTTTTTTTATAAGAATTACATGTGGCAATTATGACAGTTGTTTTATTTTGTCACAAACATTGTAAAAAAAAATTCTATCAGGCTACATTTGGGAGAACTTTGCATCAGTTCATGCTTCATGACACTACTATGTCCCATGCTGCATCACCTTTAATATATGATGGACTATATTAATTCCTTAAAAAGGGTTTCCCTTAATTGTATCTGCTGGCTTCTTCATTGCAGATATTGAGGGATCTGGGTGTTCGAACAAATGAAGTTGATGACAAACAACCCCGCAAAGTATGTTGGACTCAAGGGTTATGGTTTGGCAGTTTGCTGGCAGGGTTCCCCTGTTAAGTCTCATTACAAAGGAAAACAAGAGATATCTGGAGACAAAACGTGCTAAAATGGGACATATGTATGGATTAGACTTCGATGGTCTGGTAGGTAGTCTTACCACTTCCACCATTAAAAGCGCTGAAAACCAAAGTGGGGAAGTGTTCCAGTCATAGACACAAATATTTGCTACATAAATCACAACATACCATTCTATCATGAATGATACTGGTGAATGCAGGAGACAGGGAAGTATTAGGAATTCCATGGATTAAAGAAAGCCCATCTTTTAGTCAGAAGTATTATAATAAGCTCAAATCTGTAATGTGGGTTTGTTGTCTATGGAGTTATTGTTTTAAAATTAAGTTTCGGTATCTGATGCCATTTGTTCTTTCTTTTCCTTTGTAAAGAGTAAAATAAGCAATTCCATTGAATTCAGTTCTTGAATTGCATAATTGTCCCTCTGCCGAGAAGTCTAATTTCTGTATTGGATCTTCTGTTCGTTAATGAAAAAACTTAAAGATTTATCATGTTTAAGAGGCATAGTAGAATTCTCCCAATTCAACAATGTATAAGAAAAGAATAATGAACAGTTGGTATGTTCCAAAAAAGAGAAATCGAACATAGAAGAACTAGATTTTCTTTGTTTTTCCTTCCTTTTAGACCTAGCCTAATAGAATGGATAGGGGAGAATTCAGAAATCTCCTTAAAAATATATTAAAGTGAATTAATCATGTTTTTTCTTCTTTAAACTGTGTGTAAACCTTCTATAAACTTTTTATGATTTATATGACTGTTTTTTTTGTAATATCATTCAAACTGACTAATGTTTTTGAACATAAATTTGGTATAACTGAAGAGTCTTGTGATTAATAGATTTTCATTAAACATCTCTTAGTAAAAAATCATTATCATAAATCAGCATTTCTTGTTGATTAACCCTAGTGTAGAAATCCAAAACAGCTTAAGATGTATGAATAGAGATTCAGTGATCAAGGGTAACGACGATTTTATGATTTCATGTTCAAGACATTTCTTCAAGCAAGAAACATGGAAGATCAGATAGATCGCTAATCAAGATGCAACTCCTAATAATGATTAACCTACATAATTTTTTCCATGACTCAAAATAGTACATAAAAACAAAGAGAGAGATTTAATTGTATTTTAAATATAAAGAACTGAACTAATAAAGTTGTAGTTTTGGTAACACAGAATTCATAATGGAATAAGAGATATAACGAGATGACTGTTATATCGATTTAATTATCTTATAAATTTTCAATAAATAATTTTTGAGATTAGATAAAAACTGAATCACGTATGTAAACCTTCAAATAAATCATTTTTTACTTTAGATAGGCTTACATAGTAGCATTAAGGATGACCATAGGCTAATTTAAAACAGGTAATTTAAAGAGAAGTACGATTCTAGTAATAAAAATACTTTTCTACCACCATATAAGCAAACACGTTTTATGTAATCGGATAAAAAACATAATAAAATAAAGTTTAATATCACTTAAATTAAAGAGCTCAATATAAAATAAATGAATTAAGATCACATCCCCATCAATCACCATTTTTTTCGGAAAATTTTAAAGCTAAAAGACAACATCAAGAAAGAGATGAACAATTATGATAATTGTGTAAGGATGAGACAATAAAATAAAATATGCATATTAAGAGAAGTAGTCAGACTATAGTGTTAAAACTTGCTTAGCCTTGTATAGAAGAAGATCTTCAATAAAATCTAAAGAAATGTCAACCAAAACTTGCAAAAGGGTATTGAAAAATCATTTTTGATAATATCCAAATAAATATGTTGTCTCATGTCCTTCTAATAGTACCATTGAGACCTTTTAAAAGAAGTCATATAAAACTTTGATTACCATTATAATGTAACATTTAATTTGATAATATTCAAATAAATACTCTTTTTAAAGATCACATGTAAGCCACGAGTGATTGCTTTAAAAAAATATTTTTATTTTTTATTTTAAAAAATAGATATTGTTATTGAACGGTCTCAAATTCTAAAATCGAATGCGTGTGACCAAAATATTATTATAAATAAAAATATTAGTACAAGTTCTCAATATGAAGAAGTTAAATTAATTAAAAATTTAAAATCAAATGTACATTGTCAAATTAAAAGGTACAATTAAAAATTTAAAATATTCATGATGCATGAATATTATATTTATTTTTTATATCATCTTAAATATTTCTTACGATATTTATTTAATAGAGTCAGATGTATTAGAAGTTAGCTTGTTAGATAAATAAAATTATAATAATTTTAAATCAATAATTATTAATTATAATTTTATATATTTGATATAGTAATATCTAATTTTATGAATATAATATCTTTAACTTATAAAATATTTATTTCTTAAATTTATATAGATTCATAGCTTATGTAATAAAAATGGATCAATGGTTAATATAAGTCGCTTTAAAATATTATTGGCTTCTAATATTAATAAATATAACAAAAAAAGAAAAGTTAAATAAAAGCTGTAAAAGACCAAAAAAAAAAAAAAAAAAAAAAAAACCAAGATTTTGTTCACCTGTCCCTTAAATTTCGGAAAAAAAATTACAAAAGCGGTCCCGTCCGGCCACGAATTTCTGGTCTTCTTTAAACGGCAAATCTTCAAAATTCGACCGTTACAAACATGGCAATGCCATCAACCATAATCCTTTTCAACGGTTCCGATTGCTTCTACTTCTAAATTAGAAATCCACGTGTACGTCCAAGATGCAATGACAACTGTTAGAGACGTTGTTTCCCCTCAAAAGGGTGAAAAGCGTGTTGCTTTATTTCCTGCGTTTTGATGAAGAAATATTGATCGTCAGATTACCATCGAAAGCCGTGTAAAATAATCCAACGGTATATGATTCGTCCAGTACTCCCCCACACCCTTCTATATAAACTCCTTACCCCTTTGTGTTCTTCAGAAACCAAACCAACAGTCATTACTGATTTTGATTTTGCTTTTGCTTCTAAACACTGCATCTCTGCTCTCTGTTATCTTCCTCGCTAATTCTCCTACATCGATTTCTAAAATGGCAGCTTCAAGCAGCGTAGTGTTGTTGATGATGCTTACTGCATTTTTCATGTGCTCTGTAATGGCGCAATCTCCAACTCCGGGTCCCTCTCCATCTCCTCTCGTCAAACGACCTGTCTCTGCGCCGTCTCCGTCGAAGACATCAGCACCGAAGTCTGCTCCATCTCCGGCGACTGTTCATTCCCCTCCTTCTCCTCCTCCTTCCACCTCGGCTTCTCCTTCACCAGCGAGCGCACCTTCACCGACCTCATCAATCTCTATGCCGCCCTCTCTGGCTCCCGGACCAGCTGAGAACGGTGCCGTTGCAAACACGTTCACAGTTGCCGGATCTGTTGCCGTTGCAGTAGTTGCCGTTGTTTTGGCCATATAGAATCAATGGTGAAAATGAATCGTTTGTTTCACATTTGCGCTCTGTCCTGATGAGTGATTTATCCGTGTAATTTTTTTCTTTCCATTTTTAAATTTCTAGGACGATCTATGTATTCTTTATAATATGTAACTTTTCATACATCACATCTAATATTTTGTATAGTAATCTGCTTCCTATCATATATCTCTTCCGATTCCACGGTTAATTTACAACAAATATGAATTTATACAATAATTTAAAATTGGATTGAACTGGTTCAATGACTAAACCTCGTATCTTGTGGTAGAAATTCAACGAGGCAGGAGGGTGCGCTGTGAGTGATTATGGAGAGATACCGTGTAGATGAATGAATCAACAATGGTGTAACTGTTTGTTTCCTCAATAATTAACATTCGTAAGTGAGATGCACCTTGCTATTTCTATTTAGGAAGTGATTTGTGTGTAGTAAGGATTTCTTACCTCTTTTGACTTGTTTTTTTACTTTATACAATGAAATTCATTAATGTGTTTGGGATTCGGTGCTTTCTAAGCATTCCTGATATATATATATATGTATATATACACGTGTAATATACACACACCCTTTCACCGCGGGGGTTTAGAGTCAGGAAATTTCCTTATACGTATATATATGCCGTGTCAAGTCTGTTATTATTATTATGGTAATTAAATAAAAAAAAATTATTGTGCTCAATTGTACAACTCAATAAGAATGTTTAATAAATAAATAAATTTTGGATTTTATTTTTATGCAATTTTAAAATAAATTAATAATAATCTGCCAATTCTTGTACACTACGCAACACGTTATCATGATATATGGAACTGATCTCATTAAAGATCTTCGATACTCATAGGCGTCAGATAGCAAATATTTTTTTGACCTTCCTAGGTATATCAATCCAACGGTGCAGATTCATTGAATGGTTGCTTCTCAGGATTTCTTAGTGGTTTCCCACTTTTCCCAAAAAAAACGTGTATACCTCAAAAGTGGAAAACCGCGTTCCCTGACCGTCCATGTGAACATAAAATCTAATGATCGGACGGCGTACAACTAATCATCTTCTTCATCTTGGTTTTCTTAAATGTTCAACTATCCCTATATACACACACACACACACACACACACACACACACACACGTATACCTTGTGCTTGGAGTTGTGCATATCGATCTCTGTGTCTTAGTCTTGCGTGTGCTTTTGCCCTCTCCTGGTATGAAAATGGCTGACACAAGAATTTTCTACGTGATGGCCATGGCATTGTTGGTGGTCTCAACAATGGCACAGTCTCCTAAATCTTCACCGGCGCCTTCTCCGATAAGGCCACCTCCGGCCGCACAACCTCCAGTTCCTAATCCTATTTCTCCTCCGACAACGTCTCCGGTCGCTCAACCGCCGTCTCCAGCAGTGGAACCGCCAGTTTCTGTTCCGGCTCCTTCCGAGAGTACTAATACCCCGGCGTCTGCTCCAGCTCCTGTCACTGTTAACTCACCTCCGTCTCCTTCTCCAATGGCGGATTCTCCGGTTCTGAGCCCTCCCCCGTCGATCTCCCTGCCACCTTCTGAAGCTCCGGAGCCTGCTGAAAACAGTGCCGCTTCCAACGGATTCGCTTTTGCTGGTTCTGTCGCTGTTGGTCTCTTCGCTGCCGCTTTCGTCATGTAGAGAATCGTTCGTCGGAGTTCATATTCGTTTTCCTTCTGTAATTCTTTCTATTTAAATATACGAGTGAATTATACCTTCATTTTGTAGTTTTGATCTGTTTACATCTTTATCTTCTTTTTCTTTTTGCGTTCACGTACAATTATTTCTTCAACTGAGTGCGTTACCGATGTACCAATCTTGAAAGATCATAAATTGATGCTTTTACAATGAGCACAAGAATTAGATTGTGGATTTCTTTTTTCTGTTCATGATATCTTGATTTCTCAACAGTTGAGATTCCTGACGTGCAAGTCTGAAAACACATGATGTGAAAAGGCCCGTTAGAAGTGGGCTGCGTGCAGCCCATGTTCTGTCAGCCTGCTTCCATATGGGAGCCAAACGCACCGTTTCATTAAACGGTGCATTTTGGCTGCTGCTACACCAGAAGAAGAAAATCCTTAATCGGGTTTCTTCTTCTCCTTGCTTCCTCAGCGCCGACGCACATTAGAAACCCTAGGATTTCTGCAATTTTTCTTCTGTTTTGCAGGTCTTCTGCTTGGAGCTTGGGGTGGAGACACTCTTCAATGGAATAGAGCTATTATACGTTTATTTTCTTATTTCAGCAAAGTTGTCCATTGTTGTTAGAAACTCTGGGGATTGAATATTCTGGTGTGTATAAATGAAGAAGAAGACCCTTTTGTAACACAACACAGTTATTATAATGGAAGAAGTCCTGTATAATACTTTCACATACTGCTCATTACTGTAACTATAAGACTGTATAACCCTTCACCTGTCTGATTATCATCAAATGGTTGAAGAAAGGTTATTTGAATATAAGCATCAAAGTCAGGTCTCCTAAAACTATGTGCTAATCTGCAATTATCATTTCTCTTTCTTGGAGAAAAAGTGAGAAGAGAGGTGTCTCCTAAGCTGCTTCAGAGGAACCAAGCTCAGGGAATAAGGAACCACCATGGCAGCAAACAAGGAAGAAGACTCCAATTCAGCCACAGTAAACACCTGCTTCATCTTGTTACTCTCCACATGATACATCAAGATCCTACCTGATACCTTCATTAGCAACCAACCATCTTTAAACGCCATGGGATCCATCCACGGGCTCATCTGAGAGTTCCCCCGGAGAGCCGCTCTCTCCCCAAGATCGCACAGAAAGTTTGGGTTCTCTGCTTCCAGTGAATTCAAAGATGTTGTCTGTTTGATTTCCCATTTTGCCTCTAAAATATCCTCAAGAACCCACACATGAATTCCACCTGCAGAGATAGCCACGTAGTGTAGTTTGCCTTCAGATTCCCCTATGCATCCTGCAGGGATGCACATGAACTCTGTTGTGGGGACAGGAACTCGAAGCAACCATGACAATTCTTGCTCCAAGTTAAATATGAGGATCTTCTCATCATCAGTTAGCCAGTATAGAGATCCTCCAATGAAAGTGCTTTTGTTTCTGTACAAACTGTCATTACACTGGCAAACCTCACTAGATTTCTTCCAGGCCCCAGCATCCGAGGAGTATATATCAAATGAATAGCAGAACATTCCCTCCTCAGCCTTATATTGCTCCACCCTGACAAGACTGAACTTGGTTGAGGAGTCAGTTAGGTCTCTACATGGGTCAAATGCCAGACCTATGGTGGCCTCTTTATTAGGACTTTTCCACTTCAGCGTGACCCATTCTTTGTTCAAGGGATTGCAGACATAAAGGGCTGGATCCTTAAAAGGATAGCAACTCCGACAACAGACCAGCCCGTTGCATGATGCCATTAACACAACATCCTGGGGCAGGAAATCAAAAATCATTTGCTTAACCTGGGAACGTTTCGCTTCTACAGGAATGTAGTTTATGGTTTTGACATCATTACAGAACCATCGGTACCTCCATTGCAGGAAGAATCCTGCTATTGGTTCTTTTTTTCCCGAATGGACCTTGATGAAAGATGGATCAGATATAAGCTTGCGCCATGCTTTACAAACACGCTTTAATCTTGTTAAATTTTTTGTTGGCAAACGAGATAACACATCAAAGAGAATGTCAATGTGATCCATCTCCTGAAACACAGATGAGCTGAAATCAACTCAGAAAGATGAACTGAAAAAATAGAATAAACAAGAATAGTTTTATGATCCAATCTGGGTGACTGCTTGAGGTTGAAAGCAGTAAGAAAATTACCCGACTCACCACCTCCGTTACGGAAAGAAAGCAATTCCAAGTAAACAATGCTAACAACTAATACAATTGAATAAATTTTTGCTCATGGCAATTGAACGACAACTCCCATTCAAAGAAAATTACAGATCAATATTCCTCTTCCCCCAGTTTTAGCTGAAGACTACGTGTATTCAAGAACTTCCTTAACTTCTTCCATCTTAGTTTCTTTTATCTGGCATAAAAGCCAGAAGAATCCCTGCTAAACACACTGGTAGAATACCAACTAACTAGTCTAAATGCTTACGGTAGGAGACAGCTACACATAAGGGTACGATTCCAGCAGTGCATGATAAAATATGCTAAGTAACTAACAATAGAAGCTTTGAGTTTGAAAAGGCTTTCAGGAGATGTACAACTAAGTTTTAATCATAAAAATTGAAATCATGTCGAAACATCGTATCAGTTGTAAGAATATCCATCCTAGTTCCTCCATAGTAGGCTGTATAAATAATGACTCAACGAACCACTGATGTAAAATTGACAATCAGGCTCCAAGCTCTCTTTCCATCAGGAATATAATTCTAGCAAATTTTCAGAAAGTAATTTTGCATAAGGGAAAATAAGCTCCCAGAATAATTTGTTTAACAAGAAGGTTTTTCTCTCAAAATCAAACTGAGACGAAACCAACTTATTACTTACATATATATATATATATTATGGAGTGAAAATTACAGAAACAACCTGCAAAATTTGGTAGAGTGAGCACTGAGCAGAGACAGGTATATCTCTTATCATGAAGAGTATGAGAAAGCCTGTGTAATGTTCTCTAATTCATTGTCACGTCCAAAACTAATTAAGAATTGAGAAATTTCAGCTTCACACATGAATATATAGTGATTAGAACTTCACTATGAAACTCTTTCTTTTTTTATTTCTTTTCTCATCAACCTAGGGAGAATTGAATCTCTTCACTTTTTCTTTCTAGGCCAATAGAAAGAGCAGTAGATATACTTGCTGGAATAGCAATAAAAAGCAGATAGCATAAAGCACTTGCTTTACCAGATTATAATAAATGGGCAAGGAAGGAGTTCGTGATGCTGTAAATATTAAATTAAATGCATAATTATAAGGAAAAAAATGAAAAGCAAATTTTAAAGTAAATTTTCTATCCCCTGTATACTGTGTTCATCCTGCCAAACAGCGATTAGCCCACAAAACAAACTAGACAACATTACTAGAAATAATAATTCACCCCAATTTTGCAGTCAACCAACTCATGTAACGTAAAACAAGAAATTCAATCAATTCAACTCATTAACGTGACAAGGGTGCCAAAGCCCTGTAAATTTTTGCAATGACATTCAAGGTTTGGCTCTGATCAATCTCAAGAATCAATTAAACATAAATTTGATCAAATAGAAAGTCAACTACTATTATCACCCTTTGTCTCCTTCGAGTCGGGCAGAAGACAGAAAGGTATTCCAAAGCCTTTACAAATGATAACCACCACCATCGGTTTTCCATGAAATTAATCAACAACAGGAATTGAGAAATAATACGTTTACGTTTCATTTTAATCACAACTCAAATATTAAGCTAAACATTGCGTTGCGTCTATAATTCCCTCTTAAAAGCCACCTAAAAACCCCAGAAAAAGGGAACCAAAAATGAAAATTCAAGAACGTGACATATATATTCCATTTCCATTTCCATTATTTAAGGTGGAATGCAAGATAAACAACGGAGTCAATCTTCGTAAACCTTGTTTGCACTTTTAACTCACAATAGGAAGAGTTTTCCCAAAAAGACAATTGTTTCCTTTCGCATTAGAGTTTCCAGGAAACTTGACGCCCAAGCAAAAAGCATTCCACGAAGTTAAAGAAAAATCAAGAAGTAATGTAGTAGGATCGACAGGACATTATAAGATAATATTAACATCACAATCAAAAAAAGAAAGAAAAGAACATTAATCATCTTCTTGAACACTCACAATCACAGAATCAAAGAGTCACAGTGCTGTGCTTTTCCCTCGAGGAAAGCCTAGTCGTTAGTACGAAGCTTGTATGATCCGTGATAACAGATAGCTATCCGTATTCCAGAGAAGACATGGAAAGGAGATTGAATGAAGCAGAGAGTGGTATTGAGATGGGAAATTTGGTAGTTATGAGAAAACGAGCGCGCTTTCACCAGTAAAAAGAAGAGAGGTTTTCCTTAGGTGTATGTCAGGTACACCTAAAACTCCACACCCATTTATCTTTTTGTCAAAATCGGTAGAAATCAACGGCTGGATCAGGCGGTCTTTTTACATGTGTGGCTCTGATGCTGAGATGGGCCCGGAAACACGTGGTGATTGGCTATGCTGCTGTATACGAATCGTTTATTACAAAATTAAATTTTATTTTAAAATAAAGCATTAATTAATTATTTTAAAAAAATTAAGTTGCGTGGATAAATTAATATTACTAATTAGTTAATTTATATTTTTTTTTAGAAATACGAAAAAATTAATTTTTTATTGTGTACTAAAATAAAATAGTTGGATTGCTTCCTATCATGACTTCCCTTCCACATGTTCAACAATCTTATTCACAACTGGTTCCACCATGGCATCCAAATCCTCCAAGTTTTGCTTTAATTCATCAACCTTCAAAAAGAATTAAGATTAATGGAATCTTTTTCATATATATCAGTTTTTATATGTATATATTATACATATGATGTATTTGTCGTTAAATTAGTCGGTGAAGCAGAGTAATGGGTTTAATGAAAAATTCAGCTGAAAGTTTATTGGTATAGTTATAATATATATTTAGTGAGGTTCAAAAGGTATATGTGTATATATAGACATATAGGAGATGAATGAATATATAAACATACTTTATGAAAGAAATTTTGAGTACAGTGAGCATCATGAGCAGCGATTTGCGAAATGTGTTGTGTGGTCAAGGCAATTGTCTTCAACTTAGTATGCTCAGGAAGGTTTTCTGCAACATCTGCAGATACCTTCTCCGCCACGGCTGCCACCTTTTCCACCACCTCTGCTACGTGTTCAGCTTCTTCTACCACCATTTCCACCTCTCCTATATATTCACACCATCGATTTTAAGCAAAACATCTCTTCCATTTTCAACCTTATACGTATACATATATAAATACACATAACATATAACTGGGTCATGAATTCACCTTCAATCCTCTTCAGTTTCTCCCACTTTGGCTTCAAGCTTGGGAGCAAGAAAACTAGTACAGACCCTAAAATCCATCTTATTGTTCCTCTCCTGTTATACGTTAGTTATGTACTATATATACACCAATGTGTATTGAAAATGAAGGTGGCAGCTATATTAAAAAAAAAAAAAAAAAATTTGTTACCAGAAAGAGAAGTTAAATGACTTAGTTGGCGGAGGACGAGGTGGTATGGCTGGTGTTAATCTTGCATTAATCTCCTTGTCAGTCTTCCCCGTTCTGTAATCAAGATTAACAAGAAAATTAACAATTCCATATACATACATATATATATATATATATATAAACTTGCCATCTATATGTATAACAATTGGTAGCAACGGAAATCACGTTTTTGGGGTATGATGACGATCGAGTTTCCTCCAAGTTCCGTAATTGATCAACTGCATGTTTGTCTGGGTTGGATAGTTACCACCAGGTGGGTAGCAGCAGCTCTTGTGGGAAGCAATAATATTATTGGTGTAGTAACCGCGAAATAACTCCAGAAAGCTTAGAAGTTTGTATGGAGCACGACAAGAACCTCTGGACGACATCATATAATCTTCAATTAACTCTTCCTGTTAATACAGAATAAAAGATGATATGATCATATATGTATATATATATATATATGGTTATAAATTGATTGTGTATGGGTTTGACGTGTAGGAGTTTTTTGCTTGTGGGTGTGGATCCATGATGAAACACGTTAAGAAATGATCAAAGGTTTCTGCAAATCATTTGGCCAATTTTATGGCTTTAAGCTACAATCGTACTGTCTCATCTTTTTCTTGCAAGTTAAAATTCATACTTATTGCCGCAAGCAAACAACTACTCAACTATATGTATATGTACCAATAAATCATGTGGGTATTTTCAATTTCTTTTCTTTTCTTTTTTAGAAAAAAATATTTATTTATTTTGAATACCTAATAGAAAAAGGCTGACTACAACTTCTATTGGGCTAGATTAGTTACACCGTAAATGGGCCAAGAAGCCCATTCTAATGTGAAAGCTAGCCTCAAAATGGGCCCAATTCTATTTATTTTTGAAAAATTAAGGGAAGTCAACTTCACTGAAAAATTCAAACCAACTTTTCCAGTCAACGTTCTTCACCTGATCAGCTTGTGCTAATCAAATTCCTCACCTACAAGTTTTCTCTTTCGTCTTTTGATCTTCACCCACCAGCTAACCCTTCTCTCTAAACATGGGGTTGGGATTCAGACAGTTGTTCTCAGATTCACTCGGCGACTCCATTGATTCCGTGTGTGAAAAGTACTGTGACGAACCAGAAGATGATTCCGGCTATTGCTTACCAGTATGTTTGGATGTCTGTCCTGAGATCTGTCACTATTCTCTTACATCCCTTAATTCTTCTTCTGATCTTCCCCATCACGCCAAATCCAAGAGTTTAATGGTCATCTTGCTATCAATTCTCGCAGCCGTTTTCCTTCTCTTCTGTTGCTTCGTTGTCTATGTCAAGTACTACGGTCACCGGAGGAGATCGCCGGCGCCGCCCGAACCCCACCGGGATGATTTCGTTAACGAAGATCGCGAACCTGTGGTTGACCATCACATCTGGTACATCCGCACAAATGGATTGCAGCCGTCGGTGATTAGCTCAATCACGGTTTGTAAGTACAAGAGAGGAGATGGTCTTGTTGAAGGAACAGAGTGCTCTGTTTGTCTGAATGAGTTCCAGGAAGACGAAACTATCCGGCTATTACCAAAGTGTTCTCACGCTTTTCATCTTCCTTGTATTGACACCTGGCTTAGATCTCACACCAACTGCCCTATGTGCCGTGCCCCAATCGTCGCAATTCCTGCCCTAACTTCCTCATCGGAAGTCAACGCCGATGAGGAGGTTCCTCGTCACGATACACGAGTCGCAGATTTGGGAGATATTAATGGAGAACCCGCCATTGAAATCCAAGGTGGAGAGGAGGAAGAAGAGATGGTTGAGATACAGCCGATGAGAAGATCGGTTTCGTTGGATTCTTTATCAGCTTCAAAGATCAGTGCAGCTCTGAGGAGTTTAACTGACCAAGAGGAAAATAGTTCAGATTCGGAATTGGGTAGAAGGAAAGAATCAAACTGGGGAATAGTCCCAAAAAGAGGAGGCGGCAACCAAGGGTTGGCAAGATTGGTGGGTTCTTCCTCTTCATTTGGGAGGTCAATGTTGTTGAACAGATCATTGTCTTGCACCGGAAAGTTTTGGCTATCGAGATGTAGCAGGAGCAGGAATTCTGGTCTGCCTTAGGAAGTTTTTGATCTCCATTTCTCACATTTTACTTTCAGTGATCAGATATCTGCAAGACGACATCTCTTGGAACCCTCTTTTATCTCTTTCCAAGCTGAGATAAAAGAAATTATACATACATATATAGGTAATATATATAAAATAATGATGTAAGGAAATTGTAGTGATCCCAGAAGGGAATTTCTGAATTTTACTGAAATAATTATGTATAGTATCACCATTTCTGTTTCTGAAATTTACTGAAATAATTATGTATAGTATAACCATTTCTGTCCCATGTAAATGATATGTTATATGAAACTTAATCTGGAAGAGAATTGGAAGTGGATATATATTAAATGTGTGCATCTATATTGGCTAGATGGAGGAGGAGATTATCACTGATGTATGTATACCTTACCTTTGACATAATTGTAATTATATTAAGATACTTAGTTTGCAATCGATGATAATTAATTCTAATATTTGATTTTTTTTTTCCTTTACTCCTGCTATTTTATTAATTATATTTTTAAAAAATAAATTTGTTTATTTATTAATTTATGATAAATCATTTTACCAAAAAATAATCTTTAAAAAAAATAACTCAAGTCGAGTTACAACTTACGTGGAGGTTGATGCATTAGAGTAAATATGGGCCGGTAACACTGGCGGGTTGGCCCGGCCTCCCGGCCCGCCCATTCTTACACCAATTAAGAATGGCATAACAGTAAATAAAAGAGAGAGGTACTTGTAAAGGTCAAGTTGAAAGTATTCCTGCGATTACCAGTATATGTTCTCTCGTTCACTGGAAGTTGAAATGGCTGGAACTGTCTCTGCATCCATCATTTCACCACCCAAAGTGATCAAAACCGTCAAAGCGTTGACAGAATCAGCTGCTCTCACTTCCCTTCCCCTCCGCGTACGCCTTCAGTCATCCTCATGGTGAAGCAGTTTCAGATCTAGACTCCGATGAGTCCATCCCCGTTATCGATTACTCTCTCCTCACCTCCGGTACTCCTGGTCAACGCTCCAAAATTATCGAGGACCTGGCCAAAGCCTGCCGGGACTGGGGCTTCTTCATGGTATATAGACTCTAAATCGAAGCAATTACTTGGTAAATGTTTATATCGGAGATTATTGTGGTGGATGTGTGCAGGTGACGAATCATGGAGTCGAAGAGAGATTAATGGAGGAGATGATAGAAGCGTGCAAGGGATTCTTCAATCTGAGTGAGGAAGAGAAGCAGGAGTATGCAGGAAAGCATGTGCTGGACACAATCAGGTGCGGCACGAGCATGAATGTTTCTGTGGATCAAGTTCTCTTTTGGAGGGATTACCTCAAGATTTTTGTACATCCTCAGTTTAATTCCCCAAATAAACCGCCAAATTTCAGGTAATTATTATTGAATTTTTAATTAATAAGTTTTGAATTACTTTGGTGATTTCTTTTATGACAATTTCATTTGCAGAAACTCTTTGTGATAGTAACTGGAATTAATGAAAATCTTGTTATCATAATCATAAGATTGCTATAAATGAACTTTCCATGGATCAATCGATAAATGAACCTTTCCCTGGGTCGGCAGCCACCTATGAACAAATTATTAACGAGATAAATATATCATATACAGAGAGATTGCATCGGACTACACTAAAAGAGTGCGGGAAATTCGAGAGCAACTGCTAATAGGCATATGGGAAAGCTTGGGTCTAGACGGCCATGACATGAACAAGGCCTTGAATATAGAAAACGGCTTACTCATTCTGGCTGCAAACCTATATCCACCATGTCCGCAACCGGAGCTGGCAATCGGGCTGCCACCGCATTCTGATCACGGCCTCTTGACTATCCTGATTCAAAACGGAATCGGTGGCCTTCAACTCGAATGCAAAGGCAAATGGGTCAATGTCAATGCCATCCCTAACTCCTTTTTGGTTAACATCTGTGATAATCTTGAGGTATATCTACATATTTTTATATGTATAATATGTATATATGTGCAGAAAATATATGATGTTTACATATATGATGTGGTGTTTCTGGTAGATTTTGAGCAACGGAAAGTACAAGAGCGTGGTCCATCGAGCATTAGTAAACAACAGAAGTACAAGGATTTCCATAGCCATGGCAAATGGACCTGCACTTGATACAGTTGTGAGTCCAATAGCAGAGTTGGTTGAGAAGGAAGGTCAATCACCAGCTTATTTTGGAATCAAGTACAGAGACTATTTGGAATTGCAGCAGAGTAACAAGCTCGACCGGAAATCTTGTCTGGATCGAGTCAGAATTCAACCCTGTTAATCATTATTAATAACTAATGCTTGACTGTAAATGTGTCAACTTTAAACTGGTTAGAAAAAAAAAATAAAGTAACTTCTTGACTGCGAGATCAAGAGAGGCGGAGCAACAACTTAGAAACTTCACTCAGGAATTTTATCAGGCAGTGAGCAGAATGAAGAAATGCTGAAGAACTTATCTAATTTTATTTATATGCAGAAGTTGCAACAAGAAACCCACAAAATCAGCAGCCAAATACATATGATAAACACATCCCTGAAATATCTACCACTTATCCACTATTTATAATATTAGAATAATTAGTTTAAATAACTAAAAATATAAAAAAAGATGTAATTAAATAAAAAAAGCATGTGACTTACTAATTTTTGCATTATATTTAACACTTTCTGTAATGCAGAAACTTACAATACTAATTATTTGTCTAAAATATTTATACTTTGCCAAAGGAAGAAGTTTTGTAAACATTTCAGTTAGCTGGTCATTTGTATTGCAATATGGAATCTATATGCTACTTTTTGCCACCAATTCTCTAATAAAATGATGTCGAGTTTCGATATGTCTTGTGCGATTGTGATAAATAGAATTCTTCGTCATAGTAATGGTGGACTGATTATCATAATAAATTATAGTTACATTTTGCTTTTGCTTCATGTCTTCTAAAATTATTTCCAACCATACTGTCTGACAAGTTGCTGAAGTTACAGTCATGTATTCAGCTTTCGAAGATGATAAAGTTGTAGATGCTTGCTTCTTTGAGCTCCAAGATATAATACTTGACCCCAAGCTAAAAATACATCTTGTGGTACTTTTGTGACCATCAACACAACCTGTTCAATCACTATCTGAATATCCATACAAATTCAAATTACCGGTGTTATAAAATAAACCGTATGAAGTTACTAATCTCAAGTACCTTAACACTCTTTTTGCTGCCTCACAATGTATTCTGCTTGGTTTTTGCATAAACCTGGACAAAAGACTAGTAGTTTGCAAGATGTTCGGCCTAGTATTAGTGAGATAGAGGAGACTGCCTACCAAGATTCGATAAACATGAGCATCAACTTGTTCTTCTCCATCTTCAGCACTCAACTTGTGATTAGTTTTCATTGGAGTTTTTATCGGATTGCAATTTTGTAACTTAAACTTGCTAAGAAGATCATTTGCATACTTTGTTGATAAATAAAAAAATCCTGCATCACTTTGATATATTTATGATCCCAAAAAGTATCTCATCAAGCTCAAATCAGTCATATCAAATTTTTCAATCATAATCTTTTTGAAATCAGGCAACAATAAAGGACTATTACTAGTGTAGATTAAATTGTCTATATAAAAGCAAACAATAAGTACTTTATCGACTCCTTTTGCTTTCACATACAAAGTATGCTCATTATCACTTCTTTAAAAATCATTGTTGCTAAAATGTCCAATTAATCCTTGCATACCAGGTCCTTGGAGCTTGCTTAAGGCCATACAAAACCTTTTTCAATTTGCACACCTTTGTCTCTTGTCCTTTTACCTCATAACCCGACGATTGCTTTATGTAGACATCTTCATCCAAAAAACCATTTAAGAAAGCTAATTTGACATCAAATTGATAGACATTCCACTTGTAATGTACAACTATACCTAGACAACCCTTATAGAGTCAAATCTTGTCACTGGTGCAAAGGTCTCTTCAAAGTCAATACCTTCACGTTACATATAATCACGATCAATTAGCCGTGCTTTATATTTTTGAATTAAGCCATCAGGTTTGTACTTTAATTTATAAATCTATTTCAATCCAATTGTTTCTTTATCTTTAGGCAATTCAACAAGTTCCCATGTCTTGTTTTGTTCTAAGACATTTATTTATTCATCCATAGCATTACACCATTTTTTTTGAGCTTGCAGTATCATTGAAGCAGTTAAGTTCTTGAATTTGTACAATTTGACAATATTCAGTTTTTTGATAAATCTTCTTTAAAGATCTTCACTTTTTTGGAGGTGTATCACTTGAGCTTGAACTTGAAGATGCACTTGTTGACGGGCTGGTTGGGTTAGATAGATTAAAAGGGTCTGAATTATTACCATTACTATTCATCAGAGTTGTTGGAGTATTACATATATCATCACCAGCTTCAAATAATTTTGGACAACCCTGTTTCTCATGCTAACTCCACTAATTTTTCTCATCAAACATAGCAATCCGACTAATAATTAACTTCTTCATGATAGGATCATAAAAATAGTACCATTTTGTTTTATTATTATAACTCACAAATATGCATTTGACACTATTTTCATTAAGTTTGTGTCTTTTTGAGAAGAAATAGAACATAAG